AATTTTTGCGATTATTTCGCATTGGCAAGTGCGTCGTTCCGATGACAACGATACCGCGGAGCGGCCTTGAACGATGCGAGTCGTCCTTCTATCGAGCTCGCGTAACGGGCGTGTAAACGCGCGGTAACGGCGACCAATCCCCGGGTGCGATTTGTCGATTGATCGGGAGAAAACACGGGTCGAGATGGGACGAGCGAAAACAACGAGGGAAACGCGCTGACTTTCAAGCGCCCGGCCGCGAAGCGCGCTGGTAGCGCGTAACTCACGTGCGGCTTACGCATACGCGGCAACGACGACGACGACAATGATGATGATGATGAGGAAGAGATGAGGAGACCGAGGGGGCGGACAACGGGCGAAAAAAGCGACGGCCAGCCTCGCACGTGATCGCCCGTACGTGTCCCAGGAATGCGCGACAGACTCACGCGTCCTCAAGCGCGAAACCACCAACGGCGCGAAAGACGTCGGGAGTCGCCGTCGTCTCGGTGCCTCCTCTCGTCGAGCTCTATTAATATCCGCGCCTCGACGTCGACGTCGCGCTTTCGGAACGCGCTCCGGCGGCGACGGCGGCGACGGCGACGGAGGAGAGAAACGCGACGGGGGGAAACGCGAGAGAGCGAAGGCGAGGAGCAGCAGCGGGGCTCACCTCTCTCCGCGCCGCGCTCGCGCGCGCGATTTCCTCTCGATCGCGCGGAGGAACGCGCGCGAAAGTCAGTCTCGCGACACGACGGCCACCCTCCCCCCTCAGATACCTGCGATACCTCTCCAACGTGGAAACTCCGATTTTACTCAGGGCGGACGACGGTCGCGGGGATCTCTCCTACCCCCTTTTCCCCGGTATACCAGGCCCAGGTGGAGCGATCGGAGCCTTTTAGAGCTGGCACGACTTAGATAGGTAATAAGGTAGTGGTACGGGCGGCGACGGCCTCGATGTAGTACGTACACTCTCGCTGGAGGGGTATTCGCGGTGTGCCGCGGGAGGGAGACTAGATCCGCGAGGGGCACGGCGCGCGACCGACGTGTAACGCGACGTGCTAGGGCTCCCTCAACCGAGTAGCGACTGATATCATTTCCAGCGGGGGACTGTAGGGTCGGCGGCCAGAACCCCCACAGGGGGTCTTCGTGCAACCCCCACGCGGCGTCGTAGTAGTAGTCGTGTACACCGACGTTGCCACGATCGCCGCCGCCGCCGCCGCCGCCGCCGCCGTCGACGTCGTCGTCGTCATCGTCATCGGTCGTCGTCGTCTCAAAATCTCCCCGCGCCACGCACACGCGCACGCATTTACCGCGCACACGC